TTCGAGGCATGATATGGGAGGGGGTGCATTACCATATTGTGCATAAAATTCATTATACAATTGATGAAATAAATTACTAACCTCGTTGAATTCTTGTTTAGGGTCTATGGGATTATCATCGAACTCTTGAGTTGGAAAAAAAAGAAGCATAATAGTAATCTGTACAAGTTCCCAAGTAAGCAAGTTTATAACGAGGATCAAGAACAAATGCAATACCATATATATGCGGAATATGTGAATAATATTTATTAAACTTTTGTTTCATGAAATCACAAAAATAACTAACATAAGCGGCATCATCAAATTCACAAAGAGCGTCGGCGATATTAACAGCTTCAACAAAAAATTCGTTTGCGGTAGGTTTATAAACATGACTAAAAGTTTGAGTTGCATTATTAAAATATACCAAAACATTAACAATTTTTTCACAAGTGTCGATGTCAGCCGGGTTTATAATATAGTTACAAGATTGTCTTTTAAAAGTAGGAAAATGATCTTTATATCTAATAAGTACTTTAATTAAGTTATAAGTACTATTCCAACGAATAGACAAATCTTTAGAAAAAGCACAATAATTGACACGTCTATCCTTCAAATATTGCCGTCATTGCATTTTTAGTGGAGTATTAGCCCAAATCAATTTAATTTCCCCTTCACTACCTCCAAAACATTTCCTAATGCCGCTAATCCATCTTGTACACACAAATTTAGAATATGACATGCACAACGTTGATGAAAAAACCTACCCATCAATGTAGAAGCACCACACAATTCACGCAATCTAGGTATAGCAGCAGTATTATTACTAGCATTATCAAAACCTAGAGCAAACACCTTATCAATCAAATTATACTCAATTAAAATACGCTCAATGAGAATATAAATATTATCAGCAGTATGACGATCATTGAATTCACGAAAAGCAAGAACACGTTTATGCATATTCCAATCATCATCAATATAATGTGCAGTAAGACCCAAATAATATAAATGATGATAAGTATCCTCTCACATATCGCTACAAATACTAACACGTCCATCAAAGTTTGCGAAAAATGTTTGTAATTTTTCTTTTTCCAAGTTATATTGCCTTATAACTTCATTTTTAATCGTTTTGCGAGTATAATTTCTAAATTGAGGATTTAAAGTACCTTGAGCATAATCTCTTAAAGCAAGACTTTGGGAAAAAAATATAGGGTAAATTTTCTTCAACAACTAAATGAGACATACCAGTCAAATGTTTTTTTATCATCATAGGAGAAATTACCAAAGGGTTGAGAATATGCAAACCTCGATATTTGTGTTTGCTTCCCCTTGTGTTTGTCTATTTTCGCATACTCCACAAAGTGTGCGGACTTAAGATGCCTTGTCAGACTCCCGTATCCGCCAGAAGTTCCCAAGCTATACTCTTTGTTGCAATGATTGCAACTTGCGTACCATTTATCGGTATTTTTGTCTTTCCTTTTTGTAAAATTGTTTTCAATAATAGGAGATTTAGATTTCTTACCAATTTGGGATGAACCGCTTTCGTCCTCCAACTCTTGCTCATCATCCGGGGTGCCGTCCCCCCCCCCCCCCCCCCCCGCCCTTCATCCTCCTCCGCATCCTCATCCTCGAGCTCATCTTCGTCAATGGTTGTCGGGAATTGTTGTTCTTGTGCAAAGCGTGGATCATTTTGGGACAATAGGTTTTGTAGTTGCTCGTCGGACATCGTCATATCATCTCTCCGTTGGTAATCCGTTTCAAAATCATCTCGACTTTGAAAAGAAGACTCGGCCCGCGCTTTACCTTTGCCTTTGCGTGAAGTAGGACGAGTCGCCGCAATCTCCCTCTTGCGGTTGCGTTGGAGATTATCCATATCTACAGAATGTCTACCACGATCCATCTTTAAAATTGAACAAATATTAAATGATATCAAATATTTTATATGAGTACAATAGTAATAATAAAATGTGACTAAGAGAACTATAGCAAATTCGAACTAAAATATGAGTATATCAAATGTAACATTTTTTTCCTTGAAAAAAAAACGAACTACTTCTAATTAATACTTTAATAACAAATGTACCAATTAACTAATATTAATATGAGAAATGTAACAATTAATTAGTTTTTTTACTTTAATGAGAAATGTACCAATTAACTAATATTAATATGACAAATGTAAAAATTAACTAGTTTTTGTACTTTAATGACAAATGTACCAATTAACTAATTTTTTTTCTTTAATGAGAAATGTACCAAATAACTAATATTAATATGAAAAATATAACAATTAACTAGTTTTTTTAAACTTTAATGAGAAATGTACCAATTAACTAATAGGAAAATGAAAAATGTAACAATTAACTACTTTTTGTAGTTTAAAGATAAATGTAGAAAAATGAACTAATATTAATATGAGATATGTAACAAGTAACTAATTTTTTTTTTCTTTAAAGAGAAATGTAGAGAAATGTAACAATTAACTAATTTAATAGATAAATGAGAAGTCTAACAATTAGCTACTTTTATAAAATGTATGAATGTGTATAAGTATATATAGTTTATATAATGTGTAAATGTATTATAAGTAATATATAATATAATGTTTATAGTATATAATATATAAGTATATACTATAAGATGAGTAATACACTTATACTTAATACTTTAATCTATATATATATAAGTATATATTAACTAAATGTAATATGTAAATATAAGTAAATAACAATAGTATGGATAATAACTAAATATCAAGTAAATATGAATGTGTATAAGTATATATAGTATATATAATGTGTAAATATATTATAAGTAATATATAATATAATGTTTATAGTGTATAATATATAAGTATATTACTATAGATGAGTAATACACTTATACTTAATACTTTAATATATATATATATATATATATATATATATATATATATATATATATATATATATATATATATATATATATATATAAGTATATATTAACTAAATGTAGAGTGCTCTTCATGTCAGGCCGGCCTGACGGGATGCCCCGTCCGGCCGAGCCCGTTTGGGCACCTTCCCGGTGGAATTTTTTGATGAAATTTTTTGAGCATGTTCCTCCTCAAGTCTAGTTTGTCCATACCAAATTTCAGCTCAAAATTCGATCGGGAAGGTCGTCAAATGATTTTTGCAAGTTAACTGGTCCGGAATATGTATTTTCCGGACCAGTTAACTTGCAAAAATCATTTGACGACCTTCCCGATTGAATTTTGAGCTGAAATTTGGTATGGACAAACTAGACTTGACGAGGAACATGCTCAAAACATTTCATCAAAAAATTCCACCGGGAAGGTGCCCAAACGGGCTCGGCCGGACGGGGCAGCCCGTCAGGCCGGCCTGACATGAAGTTTTCTCACTAAATGTAATATGTCAATATAAGTAAATAACAATAGTATGGATAATAACTAAATATCAAGTAAATATGAATGTGTATAAGTATATATAGTATATATAATGTGTAAAGAATTATAATATGAATGTGTATAAGTATATATAAGTAGAGTTATATGAGTGTTGTTTCTGTTCGGAAATTCCGGACAGGAGCCCCGTCCGGCCTCCTCCATTTGGGGGCCTTCCCGGTGGCAGTTTTTGCTCAAATTTTTTGTGTATGTTCCTCATCCAGTCTAGTTCATCCATACCAAATTTCAGAAAAAAATTCAATCGGGAAGGTCGTCAAATCATTTTTGCAAGTTAACTGGTCCGGAAAATACATATTCCGGACCAGTTAACTTGCAAAAATCATTTGACAACCTTCCCGATTGAATTTTTTGCTCAAATTTGGTATGGATGAACTAGACTTGATGAGGAACATACACAAAAAATTTGAGCAAAAAATACCACCAGAAAGGCCCCCAAATGGAGGAGGCCGGACAGAGGAGTGGTCTGGCCTGGCCGGACCTGAACATTCGTGTATATAAGTATATATTTATAAGTAGATAATTAATATATAAGTATATATAATAATTATATAAATAATATATATGTAGAAAGAATTTGGAGAAGATGAAGAATGAAGATGATTGAATATGAGAGAATAGAGAATTAGACTATTAGAGTAAGAAGAGTTGTAGAAGAAAAGATGTAAAAAAATGTATAGAAAATAGGAGTATAAATAGGTTTTTTTGTATACCCCACCCCCACCCCACCCCCCACCTCACCCCAAACCCCCCAGACCCCCCCTCCTATGCCCCCAACGGCTATAGAGCCGTTTGGGAACAGTCCCAACGGCTAGAAGCCTTTAATTATTTTTTAAAAAAAATTAAAAATGGCCGTTGTGGCCCGAACCGGGCCGGTTCCCCTTTCTGCAGGCCCGAGCCCGGATCGCTTTAAGACCGGGTCGGTTGGCCCGAACCGGCACCTAAACCGGTTACCGGGCTGGGTACAAACAGTACCGGTCCGGGCCAGTTTGCCCGACCAGAGTCCACCCATACCCATGATACTAGGCCTGGACTCGGGCCGGGCGGCCCGACCCGGAACCGGCCCGGCCCGGCCCGGCCACTGTAGCAACCGGCTCGGCCCGGTGGCCCGGTCCACCGGCGGTTCGGGTCGAACCGGCCCGGTGGTTCCCAGTTCCGGGCCCGGGCCTTCCATATGGTGAACCGGCCCGGCCGGTTCGGGCCCGGTCCGGGCCGGAAATAATTTTTTTTTTATTTTTTTTTTGAATTCTTTTTATGTTTTGGGTTAGATTAGGTATTTTGGTCCATTTGAGGTGGTTTGGGGTTGAGAAAGAGGGGTAGGGGATTAAATAAAGAAGCCAAAAAAAAAAAAAAATAGGGCGGGTGGCCCGGCCCGGAACCGGCCACCCCCGGTTCGGGCTCGGGCCTCAATATTCTGAACCGAGGCCCGGCCGGGCCCAGGCCCGAGGCCCGAACCGGCCCGGTTCAGACCACCCCTACATGATACTGATGATAGGGTAAGGAGGAGTCTGATGTACACGGTCTTACCTCTCTAGGAAAACACAAAGAGACTATTTTCAAATAACCTATCATGAAAATTACTTCACACACTTTAGAGACTCATCTTGCTTTACTTCATCATATTCTCAAACCCAAGAAATAGGGATAATGATGGGAATAAAGAATATACGATTCTACATCTAAATAATACAGATATAAATAAATTGTTACAATTGAAATAAAGAATGAAATGAAAACATGTTTGTTGATGATGAAATGAAATTTTCAAAATGAATAGATAGGGCCATAGGGGAGTGGGCTAAAGCAGAGTTGGATATTTGGCATCGATGAAATCTCTCAAAGTTTTGGCAGGTCGCGAGCCGCCCATGAGCTCAGCAAGTCTGTCCATGGGAAGAAGAGAGAGATCGGCCAAGCACTTGCACCCATCCATTATGGCCCTGTAGTTGGACTCTGTCACCCCGGGAAGACGCCTCAACAATTCCACCGCTGACGTGTTGTAGTTCTCTGCTCTGTTTATTGCAAACAAAATGGAATGAGAATTACAGATGTACTTCATTCATGATGCTCACATATTATGTTTTCCGCGTACAACTCCTTTCAAATTTAAATATAAATTATGTAAATAGTGAGTATGTTTTATTTTTAATACTAAAGCCATAAAAGAAAATATCATTTTTTTTGCAAAAAAAAAAAGGTTTTTTATTCAGTAGTGGAGTTCATTTTGTGATGCAACTTGTGTTATGGAAAATCTAACTTACGTAGTTAGGTGTGTATACAAAATGCAACTTGTTAAGTCAACTACAAATATAACTCGCGCATAGGGAAATGTAACTTATTTTATAACTCGCGCATAAAAATAGTTAATGAATATGAAATGCAATATACTTATTTTATTTAAATTAATAATTTTTTTGTTATGAATTGATAAAGAATAAAAAATAGATTTGAGTAATAATTTAAGCTCAAGATAAAGAAAAGTAAAATTACAATAAAATTTTTAGTATTTTAGTGGAGAAGGAAAAAATAAATAAAGAAGTAAAATAAAGATGAAGCAAAAAAGATGCAACTTGCACATAAAAAATGTAACTCGCGCATAAAAAGATGTAACTCGCGCACAAAAAGATGTAACTCGCGCACAAAAAGATGTAACCCGCGCACAAGAAAATATACCTACATCTACTATTAAATGCAACTCCATATATTGTCTGTAAACATAACTTACACATACGAAATAAACAAGTTTAAAGTCTTAAGAACACTAAAAATATACTCCGTACTACTTTTGTCCAGATTAAAGGTTACCATTGCAAAATAACACTAAAATTTAGACACCTAAATTAGGTAATTCGAGTATATTTAGTTATATAATTTTGATGGTTATATAATTGATAATTGATGGTTATATAAAGTGGTAATTGGGATGCTATAGGTTATATAAATATTATTTTTAATATTTAATGATTAAATTATCGTTTAAGAGTATTAATTGTTTCCTAGAATAGAAATAAGAACCTTTATATGGGACGTCCAAAAAAGGAAAGTGAAAACCTTAGAATGGGACGGAGGGAGTATAAAAGAGATATGTAATATATTATAGTTAAAAGTTAATGAATATGAAAAAATATATTACAAAAGATATTACAGAAAAAATATATTCATTTGTAATTTCAGTTGAAGATTAAAAAAAGTAAAAAAATAGTGTATGATTATGAAAAACAATATACTTATTTTATGTAAGAATAATCTCGGTCTCTTTATGATCAATTGTTATATTACACAGTTCAATGAGTAAAAACATTAGTTGTTACACAAACATTACACTCAATTTCTTTGGATTCTTTTCCACCAACTTTAAATGTACGCCATTTAACTACTTTCTCTGTCTCTTTTTAATGCTTACTCAATTTATCACATGAAGCTATACTTTTAATAAAAGTTATATGTTTGGCGTTATAAGTTAAATTTAACGAATTAATAGTTAATTAAAAAGAAGTGTCTGGGATGCATTTGTGGGTCAGTAAATATAAAAGTTTTCATCGTAGTTTCATACTTGTCACATACTTCCACAAATTATCACTATGAAGTTGTATTTTTTATTTAGGATTGCTTATCTATAAGTTACAATGTGTGTGTGATATTTAGGATCGTTTGTCTATAAGTTATCTAGAAGTTACCTTATGCATTCTATTGGTTGAAACTTTGCAGTTTTCAGCCTAAGGCACACTTCTCTTCCCAAACCACCCTTAAAGAGGATCATAAATGATGTTATGATGTGTCTCACATAATTTTCAACAAAACCTTCTCTCCATACCCCCCCCCCCCCCTCCCAAAGAGATCCTGAAAGACTACATATTAGAAAATCATATGTACCTGATATCATTTTCAACAAGACCATCTTCTGAAGGAACACCAACTCTAATTGCCTTGACCTCATCTGGCTCATCCTGATTAGCTTTAAGAGAGGTAAATATTTCGGCAGTAGCATGCAAACTGCGGGACCAGACAATGCGAAGCCGTGGAAAATGAAGAATAAGCAAAGATAGCTTCGATATAATGTTGTTTGGCGTCACATCATCTCCAATTTCACTAGCAGACTTCAAGAAAAAACCTACGAGTCAGATTAATGAAAAGAAGGGGAGGGAAGGGAGAAGAAAAGTTGGGAAAAGGTGGTTAAGAAATACTCCCTCTATCTTAAAGAGAAGAAGACGTGTTTGAGTAGGGGGCATCTTTTCATTTTTAGACTCAATCAAAAGTTATGAATAGACATGTATACCCCTAGACTTATTTCCTAGATTGCTTGGAGTAAATGACTAAAACTGCTTGGAGATTGGCTTTACATAAAGTTAAGTTCTGGGTCTAAAACTAATTCTTGTTTTGGGACTAAACGTGACTTTTTTGGGGACGGAGGAAGTATTATGTTTGAGTCAATGAAGGCATTGGTATTTTGAAGAATTAAGTAGAAATGCTGAACTAGATATATTTTTTGGAGGGAAATCCCCAAAATAGGAGTAAAAACGTTTGAGAATTCCAAATAATACTACTCCGTATATTTTTTCTTAAAATAGGAGTATGTTAATGTCATCTTACAAATTTACAATCATGCTTCGGCATTACCAGAATTTAGACATGGCAGTCTACTGTCATAAGTGGCAATATTTTCCAAACTTGGCTTACTCCTATTTGGGGAATAAAACATAGCACTCCTATTTTGGAATTCGCAAAGCCTTCACTCCTATTTAGAGCAATTTCTTATTTCTTTGTAATCAAATATATAGTGATCTACAAGTACATAAAACAATAATAATGTAAAATAATTTCTGTAAAAGGTGAAAAAAATTAGAAAATGAAGATAACTTCCCAAAACCCCAAAATTAGAGTGAATTATGAGGAGTTTGAAGGATTTTATAGCTACTCCACATTCTCCCCCCTCCCCCCCCCCCCCCCTCCCCAAATTCCCCTAAATCTCCAACAATGCACATAGAGCTCCTTCACTTTTCTTTCCTCTCTCCCAAATCCTCCAAACAAAAAAGGTACCCACAAGAGGCATATACCTGAAATGAAAAGCTCTTGTCTTGTGAAAACTCGATGAGCAGAACAGGAATGCGGTAATACCGTGACATCATTTCCACCTGGTGGAAAAGGCGGCCAGATGCAAAACTGCCATAAAGGTCTTGTATACTCTTTCTTTCTACACACATCAGCGGAGAAAGTATATAATCTCCAACTTCCAAAGTCACCGGTATAATGTGCATGCCTTTCTGGTGGAGTACATTAGGGAGACTACTCATGAACTCTCTCATGTCCACTATCACCTAGTGTCACCACAATGTAACAGTTACTACACTAACGCTATGTTTGGAGCCTGGAAAATGGCAGGGTGAGGAAAATGGTTTTTTATGTTTTATTTTAACAAGGAAAATACAAAGAATAATCAATTCTAATCGGGAAAAAATACTCCCTCCGTATTTTAAAGTTCTACACTTCTTTTTGGGGTGTATTTTAAAATTTGTTACACATTCCCCTTTTGGTAAGTTTTCCCTTTAAAAATACTCAATTACCCTTACTTTTTTTACTTTTTATTTCTCTTTCATACTTTTACACCCTCTTTCCTAGTTTTTCTACACTATTCATTACCCCTACCACTTTCCTCCTTAAATAATGTGCCAAAGCCAATTGTAGCAATCTTTATAATATAGAGGGAATATAATAGAAACATATAAATACAATGAGTTTGAACAAATACCGAAAATTTATCTATTGAGTTTGAACGAAATTATTATTTCCCCTCAAATTTCGTCCCTGATTTCTTTCCCTAGAATATTCCTTGTTCCATGTGAACCCTGAGAATCTTTTTCATGAGAGTTTCCATATTGACATACTTGCATTTCCTTCTGTGGATCCTTTTTACCACCAGCTTTTCTAGTCATTAGATTTTGGGAATGTATGGATTGCCCATCAGTTGAAGAATCCAGTCCTGTACA